ATTGCCGGAACATATTTCAAATACCAATTTAAACCATCTTTATCAGCGAAAATAAATAAATTAGGTCTGATTCCGCTAATCTTGTATACAGGGATAAAGGAATACAATCGCAGGGGGGGACTTGACAAATTCTCAAAATGGGCGCGGCTTTCCACATTGTACTTACATGCTATCAGTAATAGTTGGTAAATCAAATTGGACATTTTATCTGCCTTGATCAAGTCAATCATCAACAACCTTCGTTCAAGTTTTATCTACTTAGATTCTACTTCTACAGCACTGGTGTGGAATAAAGAGATATTGAACAGGCATATTAAATTCGTGGTATCGTACAGCAGGAACGGGGCGAATGTAAATCGTCTGATATTTATAGAGTAGCGTTTCATTCGCAATTTGCGTTCCAAGGAACAATTCTGTTCCGAGTTTCTTTAAAGCATTCCGTGGAACAGGGATCGAAATTGCGACTAAACTGGTCGCCAAGGCGATCACTGTCGTACTTCTATGAGTCTTCCAACTGGTGACAAACAGGCGAAGAGGCATTGCTATCTAAACAGGCAGACAGGCCTCGTGCCAGTCTGGAAAACAATGGACTTTCATTCAACCATTCAATATCGTTATCTCTCAGTCTAATAATTTTTAATTATTAAGTTTACAGCAAACTTTTCAATTTTACCATAGGCTTAATATTTTTGAAACCAACCATCCATATTATCTTATAATTTTGTTGGTGTTACGCGAGGCGAGATGAAAATCGTTCCGGGGCTGAAAAGTTTGAGGAACGCTGGTATAGACTGTGGAGCTGACATGGGCAAACCACCTCCCGCGGGCCAAATCCGGCCCGTTGGATAATTCAATCTGGCCCGCTGGATACTGCCACAACCAAACAAAACCCAAATTTCGATGTTTTAACTTAAAAATAACTTTGTTTGAAGAATTTGTTGATATTGCGATCAAATGTAGTTTTGACTTATTCTTTTAACTTTTCACGTCACACCTTCACAGCACGCCAGTCTAATTTTTGGCCCCTGGTCGAAAAACTTTGCCCATCCCTGCTAGAGAGGATAGCTATGGCCAATTTCTGATTTGCGTAATCCGTTAAAACTGAAATTTTTGAGGACGACCAGGAGCCACGATTGTTGTCAGTCTTCGGAAGAGGGCAAAAATTGGCCCACACTAATCACCAAAGGATACAAAATAATTTAGGCGTCGCTTCGAATATCTGTGTAGAAAAACTTCACAACGTTAAATAAACTTTAGCGTTTCATTGGTCCATGCACATGCTTAGTGTACATAAGGCTTGGTATCAACCCTCTCGCTATTCAATGCCCTTATACTTCAGAACCATAAAATTAACGACCTACTTTTAGAACATCTTTATATCTTTTCGTAAACGCGCTTTTGTAAAGCTATAATATCGTTTTATCAAGATGTGTGATCACAATACTCAAATTCAGTTGGCCTCCTAAAAAGATTGCACCTAGACTAACTTTCAAAATCTTATATATACATGGCCATTAAATTCTAAAACGCGTCTGACTACTACGCTTCTCGTTTCGCATATACCTTCTTCGGACGATTAACCTCAATATCAACAAACTCGTTGTATAATGGATCAAAACTATAGCAACTCAGAATAATTTCCATATACGGTATGCGATATTGATACCACTATCAAATGTGGATAAACTATATTAACTGTACTTAACTGTTACACGAAAAATACCAATTGTGATGTCTACGCACCAAATGTATTAGCCACTACTTTTGAGAAGCCTTTGTATCTTTCCGCAAATGCATTTTCGAATACAAAAAAGCAAAATTGTCGGTATGGAAAGTCAGATACTCAAATTCAGTTGGTCTGCACTTAGAATAATTCCCAAAATCGTTATATATTACAAGGCTATTAAATCATAAAACGCGTCTCACTATATCGCGTCCCTTTCCACATACTGTATACCTGTTCTGTCGATATAACTTAATAATATCAATGCGTCGTTGTATAATGCTATAAACTTGTAACTTGGAATCCCATGTATGCTATACATGACTTGAGCAGTTTTTTTGGTATATGGCCTTACAATGATCTTTATGACGCAGCCATAGCTCACTTCCTCTCTTTATATTTAGGTTTGGGTAGCATATGCAAGTAAAATGCTTAATCTTTGGTATTTCGCGCTTTCGCCCCGTAAAAGGCTTTGTACAAGCAATCACAGCTACGCACCGAATTCAAACTGTATTTATTTTTTTCAAGGTTTTGGCTTCTCCACTTCAAATGAGCCCAAGCCTTAAGCACGTAGGGATATATAGGGGCTGGGGTTGCCAACTTTGTGTTAAACCATTCCGGGACACCTTAATGTCTAATGTCAGGGAAATGTACAATTTATGCTAAGTATATTTGATTATTTAACAAAAAACACAAGAAATCAGTCTGGTATTTAAATTTGTATTTTTATTGTGATTTTGCAGCTTCAAAAAGATCTTTGTTAGTTTTCATAAAGTTTATGTTAAAACTAGTAATCCTTACGAAATATGATTAATTAATGAACTCTCGCTAAGACAAGAGATGTCAACAAGGCGTCCAAAAACAAACGACTATGCGAGCCTGAAACTGACTGAATAATGAAATTCTGCTCATAAAATAGCCTCACACTAACAGTGCATTATTAACTAAAAACAAGAAACAAAAAATATTGTTACACGCCGCAACTTTATTGACTAATTTTTCAATAAATCTCACTGGATCAAGTTTTTGATTCCCTCAAATTGAAGTGATTGCTGTATATAATGTTATCACCCATTTTGAAATTGTTTCAACCTATTACTTATCGATCTTAAGATCGGTAAGTATGTTGATAGGTATTTATCTGTCTGTCTGTATGTCTGTTTGTTGTCTGTTAAATGAACGCGATATCTCACGATGGCGAGGTTGAATCTGCTCCAGATTTTGCATGTGCATTCATCATATCTCGGACCAGATGCCCTATTGATTTTGGATGAATTATATATGATATTATTACGTATGATTAGCGAGTTATTGACTAATTAGTGATTGGACACGCGGTGTCACTATAGAGTCACGAATCGAAACCGCAGTTTCGCTCGTTAAGGGTTCGGTCTCCGACCGATATTCTCGTTTTAGTGTTATCTCATCAGTAGGTTACGGTTTACCAAACATGTCTTATCTACAAATTTTAACTCACTTCTATTTGAATGAACCATACAGATGTAATCGTTTTTATTAAAAATATATTTGCGTGAATTACATCCGTTTCCAGTTTTAAACGAAGCCGACACGCTTACAATGGCCTTCCATTTTAGAACGCCATGGTTGTCGTTAAATTCCGGGACAACCGTTGCCCAGCCCGGTTCACGAGACGCTAGACGTCAATTCGGGGACTGTCTCGGCCATTTCGGGACGGTTGGTAGTCCTATATATTACACCATTGAATCAACGGGCCCGGTCATTCTTCTTAATCCTAATGATGCGTTTTGACGTCTTCTTCCAAAAAAATCACTGTACAAGCAGTAACGATTGTTACTTTGTTGGTCTTACCAGAAGTCCCCATCTTTTGTATCGAACTCAGTAGTCACTACTCACTACCAATGAATGTTTCCCAAAGCATCGATTTTCTTATTTTGTTCTGTAACAATGGTTAATCAACAATATTGTAACAATTGCTATTTGTGGAGCCGCACGGATACTTCCCTCGCTTAGTCAGATATTTAAAAATGATTATAAACATTGTCTCGTTTTTCGCGTTATTTGTTAGTTTTTAGCTGCGTTTCACAAAAGTGGTTGTAAATCAAACAACTTGATTATTATTATGTCTTGCGAAGAGCGGTAGTTTAGTCGCAATAATAAAAAATTGATCACAGAAATGCTGCCCCAACTAGGCTAAAATTAGTTACAAGTACATGTGAGCGGCAGTATCTGTGAACTCGTGCAAATTCCTAACTGAATTTCGCGCGTCTATGTTTAGCGCCTTTAAGCAACCGCCCCTGGCGCCATCGAACGATAAAAAAATGACGCGCGCAAAGTGAACACCTGTGACGCGCGACCACGAGCGCTGCCGCGTCGCGTTGCATCCAGTGTATACGCAACCTAATGCGATGCGCCACTCTGCTGAGCTATATAGCAGCGCGCATTTTCAAAGCATAATCTCAGTCACTTTTTGACTTCAACGTTTTATGTGTTAATGTTATATCGAATTTTGTACTTGTACATTATTGCTTTATTTCATGATACATGGACTGAAAATCAGAGAACAATTATTTGTAGCAGCGAGAAATATTTGATTATACATTGCTGGTAAAAATGGAAGAAACCAAATATTCCTTATTTGCGAATATAGTACAAGATATATTTTCGAATCCGAATAATCGAATGTACCGGGACATGAATCATAGAAATTTCAATTGTGATTCCAAAATGTACGACAAAGGCAGTCTGCCTAAAACTTTTCGAAGCAATTTAAAAATAGTGGCGCTTTAACCAGTAAATTCTGAAATCGATTAGTCTGGTTTTTGTCTTCATATCGTGGACAACAAGAACGGAAAAATTATTTACGCGCCCGGTAACATTTTTTAAAATAATTCCAGGGTCACCGTATGTCCCATATTATAATATTACACCCGGCGTACTCGCTTTTTTCCCTACTGAGGCTGCGTTGAGATTATTTGCATTTTTTTAGGCAAGCCAATCCCTGAACAGTGTGAATACCTATTATGACGTAAAAATTGAATTTTTACGTTAAAAATGTCTTGTCACACTTGGAGTTCCGATTGGTCTGTCTGTCGTACTCATTTGAGGTTAAAGGGGGATCTGAATTATTTTATGGTTTATCAGACTACGAACGAAACGACAGGTGCTGGAGCCGATCTGCAACCCATTTATTATGCATGTCTCAAAAGAAAAAAAGGGCAGTTCGCAAAACCATGCAGCTTACAGAAGAAGACGAGACGCAATACCGGGCAAGAGCTGTGCTGAACTGCCTGGCCACCAATGAATGCTGTATGCCTAGTACATACAATAGACTTGGTTAAACGGAAAATTATATGGAAAGAAGTAGCCTACCGGCGGATGATATTATTGACGACAGCGATGGACAGACGGTATTTTCCAAGGTAGGAAGAATGTTTTATTTGTAACCGGAGCTTCGATTCACTATTTTCCATATCTCTCTCCTATGCTAAGATCCACAATCGACTTCGAGTTAACAAAAATTTTGTCCCTAGGTTTGGAAAACTCAAATTTTGATTATCAAAGTTTTTGTTATTATAATTTAATTTCTTGTATTTTGAAATCAACATGTTCTTATCCGGGACTTGGAAAAGGGGGTATACCTAAAGGCGGTATTCAGGCCGGATAGCGACTGTAAAAACAGCGACTGTCATAATGGCGACTTCATAATAGCGACGTAATCAAGTGAGCGACATTCCAAACAGCGATTGTATAAATGCCAACCGCATTAAAACAGCGACTGTTATGATATCGACTTAACTCGTGTTCACTGAGTCGAATTTCCTGGTTGGTCGTTGGAAGGTAACGCTATATATATCGTGTCACATTAATTTTAAGGTTGTTGGGGTTAGGGTTTGTCGCTGTTTTAAATGAATCGCTGTCGTGTAGTCGCTCTATTGACAGTCGCTGCTTTAAACTAATCGCTGCCGTGTGGTCGCTCTATTGACAGTCGCTATTTGGAACCCTAAAGTCGTGCCTACGTAAAAACGATTTTGAAAAATAAGATTAAATATGAAAATAATGTCTTATTAGTAGGCACCGCCATTTCTGTCTGGCCAAAAAAATTTAAAATAGCTCAGTCTGATGTTTTGTTCCCATAGAACGGACAACAACAATTTAGAAAACGATCAACGGCCACTCCGGGCCAGGAATTCATTTTTCAAAGCCGTGTTTTAGAAGTATTTCAGATTCATTTTATGTCTCATGTTATGTCTTATGTCTCACTTTTGGCGCTCAAGAAGTGTGTGTACCAATATGGAGGTAACTAATTGTGTTCGCCTACTTTATATGAAGTTGTGTAAAGGGACTGAAACCTATGGACAGCGGACAAGGGTATATTCAGTTGGCTAGCACAGAAAGTAATTATAACATAATTAATTATTATAATAATTATAACACAGAGAGGAAATTCGGTATAAAATTTTGCTCTAACCCCAACCTGGTACACACACTACGGGAATACCGAATTTTCACTTTAAATCCGAACGCACCATTAATGTTTACTTTACATATTACTTTTAAATTATCACGTATGTGTATACTTTTTCTGCCCAAGTTGACTCAATCGAATAGTTCAATGATTAGGTTAGTAGATGAAATCCCATAAACCCGATTTAAAGCATACAACAAGAACTCAACTGCTCAACTACGGAGGTCAAATTACTAAAATGGCCATTCTTAGAGGCTTGAGAACCACTGACTAGAACATTGTTTATAGTGAAAACATCCTATAAAACACTTATTTCGTAAAATTAGGTTTGGTATGATTTACCACCAATATTATCGAATCCCACGGTTGGAATATATAAATAATATAAATCTGGATTTTACAGCATGATCGTTTAATGCATAGATGGCATGGGCAAGAAAACATATACAGTAAATAGAAAAAATAACATCCTTGGTTATGAAATTAACAATATGCAAAGAGAAAAAAATTTAAAATTCAGCAAACAATAAATACAAAGCGGGAGAGAATATCATATTTGTATTATGACGTCATATTATAATATCACATTCTTATTATTACGTCACTTCAGTATTATGAAGTCACAATTTTGTGCACGTCTACCTGCGTACTAAAGTGTGCACAACGTTCTGTTTTTGTGAATTGAACCAATGGTCATCCATAGACATAGGCCTGGCCTTAAACCAAGTTAGATGAAAATGCGCACTTATATCCCTTGGATAACTTTTACTGCGAAGTAAGTCTGTAGCTAGACTCTTTAAGATAATGTTAAATATCAGTGGCTGACTTTGATTGAAGGCACGAGAAGGCATCGTATTACGTCATTATACAAAAAAAAATATTTGACCCCCCTCCTCAGAAAAAAAAATTGGAACTGGCCGGGTTCTTATTACCGCGGATTGCGTCGATTAAATCACTGAGTCCTACTAACTAAGTGACTGTTAGTTGTAAAATATATATTACAATTTATGTATATTTATATAATATCTGTAAAAAAAGAGAGCAATGCTCAATTATATGGACACGAAAACTAAAACGAAGTAGCATCAAATCACTCAGTACCGGTAAATCGCCGAGAGCGCTGAAATGCGGAAGTGAAAACAAATCCCATATGATCCACAAAATGTTTGAAATAAATGAAAGTAATAGCCTTCCAACGAGATTAACAATCTTTAACCACTGAAAATTTCAAAGCAATTGATCCTGTAGTTAAAGAGAAAAGCGATTTTTTACAACATGAATGAATGAAATGCAAAATAACAAAACGATCAATACGTCCATTTCGTGTCCAATATCGACAACGACGCCATATTTCGTCGATGGAAAAGTGTGTGTACTTTTGAGGTCAGCTGAATATGGATGAAACTCTCTATGTTGTGGCTCCATATAGAACATTTACCACTGTTTCGGCCTTGTCACTAGGTGGGGCACCTGGTGTTTTTTTCTGAGCATCAACGCTTCCTCCCCCTGTTTCCCCATATAGTACATTATCCACCATTGTTTTGTGATATTCCACTGTTTGCTTTGTTCCTTGAATATTTTCCACTGTGGAATATGCGACATCTGATTGGTTAAAACTGGAAACGTGATTGCTTTGTCCTTGCTGTGATTGGCAACTTGAACTGGCTACGCTCATTTGTACATTGATATCTTCTGCCGCTGAATAAATGCCACCTCCTGATTGGTTGGAAGAAGAAGCTACAGCGTTTGATTGGTCGCTCTTTGCTGGATTTCCGCTTTGTTTTTGTTTTTTCCTGAATATGAAATATTGTAATTGGTAAATTAACGATGAAATGAACGCATGATAACCGGTAAACTATATTGGTATATCGTGGAATTTCGCTCCGAACAAGACCATGTGCAAGCCCCCACTTATATTTAACTATATGTAGTCAGTAGTTTATTTTTTCACCATCCTGAAAACACACTAGATATACAAATTAAAATAAATTATGAAAAAGTATTCCAGGGTCGCGGAAAATTAAATTAGGTTATAGAGCAGCGGCACCGGTAAGAAAGTCTAACAAGAAAATAACAATGAAAAGTCGTATAAAAGAAAACTATATTGACTATTGGAAAAAAAAATAATAATACGTCAAAGCGACCTGGTGCGCCCAGTAGTCTCGCGTTTCAACAATTACAAATGTTTAGAGCTACTACACCTAAAAGGGCTAAAATCGTTCCAATTCTGCGTTGCCTACTTAATCTACTACACCCTGGGTATCGTGATGGGATTTGACCCCGAGATGTGTTACCTACAGTGTCAATACACATAAAGTCTATGGCTTTAACCATTAGGCCATGGTTTCTTTCCGACATTAAGCCGCGTGCTCAGCGACAAGACTCTTTTACTTCTGAGTGGGTGTGTGGGATCTTATTTTGAGTGGAGTATCAGGAAATGCTTTACAGAGCACGGTATATTTTATAGAAACCGCAACTCGACCTCAAATAAAAAATTCCCAATAAAAGTAAGTTCTAAGATTATATACCAACCTTTTTAGAACAACAATTAGAATTGCCAGTGCGACCAGTAAAAGGACAATACTTATTGGGACGAGAACGTTGACCAACATTGATGAGTTGTCATTGGCTACATCGGTGGTATACAACATAGTTGTTTCTTCAGGTTCGTCTGCGAGAGGCAAAAGCATGTTAAAATAGGATTTTTTTGTGTGTTTATCTTGCTAGAGGAGAGCTGAAAAAACGGTTTAGTCATGAGGCAAATCCATTTGTAGTTCGGCTACCAGTCCATATCGGGTACAAAATCGTGACGTCATAAAAAGAATATGAATCTATTATATAAATGTGACGACATAATACAAAAAGGAACGTAGTACTGTATAACGAACTTTCATGTATTCTAATGTTTATTCATTTACATATTGTTAAAGCTGATAAGACGGTTTGGTCATAAGACAAATCCCATCTCTCGTTTGTTTACTAGGCCGTGTCAAATATAAAGAATTTTCAACCAGTAATTTGTTTCAATTTTTTTTTCAGTGTTTACTTCGCAAGAGAGGAAAGTTGATAAAACGGTTATTCAGAAACCCAATTTCTAGTCTGTTCCCCAACCCATGTCGGTTATAGACAATTCTTAAGCAGTTATTTGTTTCAGATGCAGATTTAAACTTGCTAACCCACCATGTGCGATGATGAACGATTCGATGGCTAGCGTATTTGAAACAATTGGTCAACCGCTACACCGGCACGTGTTTTTATAAACTAAAATTAGGCCTTATAAAAGTAGTTTACTATTTATGGAAAATGTTTGAATTTCGACTAATTGAGCGCACCAGCGCAGTGTGTAATAAATTTGGGAGCCAGTGCCAAATCGGAAAGATCCAACCCTTCCAAAAATATAGCTTGTTGCATATCAGTCGCTGATTGTCTAGGGACCTGTTCGGTTTGTAAACACTTATGAAAAACTCCTGGAATTTAGAAAATTTTCAAGTCTACCAAAAACTAAAGCTTTCTACATAATTGTGTCGTCTCTCCAAAGCCTTATTCAGATTGAAGATACTTACTTCTTATAGTAGAGAAGATTCCGCCTAAACTAGGTAGATAAGTAGATTGAAGTCGTTTGTTGCTTGTTGTCTCAACGCTCATTGAAGAAGTTGTTTGGCTGTCAGTGGTCTCGGCAACAATCGCAGTTTCCGTAAATATTTATTTAATAATATTTAAATGTGTGTTTAGTATCATATTGAAAGCGGGGTTAATTCAAAAAAATGAACAAAAATTACGTCATAGTCACTAAAATGACCCCATATTAGAGTTTTAATTCAGGGGGTCTTTTGTTGGTTATTTCCGTGATGATGTCAGAAAGTATAAAAAATTTGACTTTCAATATCCCGCGTGCTTACGTATTTTCTATGGCAGGGGTGGCCAACCTGATTTCGGCTCGATCGACTAAAATCTTCAGAATAGTTTGCAATCGACATGAAAACAAATGGTTACTGAATAAGCAGATAACTGCACACAAGCATACAAGATATTCCCCTCCCGCCAACAATCTCAGCTTTGTTGGCAATCATTTAATGAAATGGACACAAAACTTGTATTTTTTATGTTCCATTTAAGTTAGTAATTTAAATATTTAATTGTACCCGAAGTGAATGTTTCAATATTTATTTAGGATTTATTCAAATCCTACAATTCAGATATAAGGTTTGCCTAATTTTTGGTCGTAAGTGTTGAAAATTTCCGCCAAAAGTCTGCCAAGTATCCGTTTAATATCTTAATGCAAAAAACAAATATTCTCAACCCATAAATGTTACCTGACTACTCAAAATTCAGTATCTAATTTACCATTTCCTCCAAGCGCGAGTCTTCGCTCGCTTGGATTTAGAAAAAATTGGGCATTCCTGATGCCACTGCTACCATTACGAATGAAATTTTTCATACTGCTCATGCAGTGAGACAATAACCAGCAATTATTGTAGGGTCGTTTGTCAGTCAATTCACTCAATATTCGGCAAGTTTATGTTTAAACCTTGGCAGCGGCGAAATTTGCATTTGTTACGTAATAATAGGTTCTATCGGCTTGCCCTGACTCGAATACTATGTATGTATATTGTATTTTGCCCATGCACAGTTAGGCTACTATATTCTTCCCGTTTTATACACACGACACGCGATGCATGAAACTGGTTTGAGGAATATTTTTGGGGTATGTTATTAAATTCACCCAACTTCCGACGCGATCGACCATTCGAGACGTGGCGATCGACGTGTTGGCCACCCCTGTTCTATAGTATGACCGTGTGCCTTTATATGACGTCATTTCTAACCTTATATGACGTCACTGAGAGCCGTCTAAATGCGTTATATTTCGTATTCTGACGTCACGTATTGTAATATGACATCGTAATCGTGTGAACTTTCTTTTACTATAACGCTGCCATTTGTAATATTACTTCACGTGCAACCGCAAAGTACGCATCCAACATCCGATACGTATACAATTTGGCGGTAAATAACATTACATAGCTAATATTCAAAGCAATTACCTGGCTTGCACCTAATGTATCGATATTCGATTTTAAAGCCAAAAACTGGTCCAATTTTTTTATCGCTTTTCAAGCCACTCGCGCTGTACTGGACCGTAGTCCTATCTTCTTGTATCAGATCGTTACTCTCGCATTGCTGTGTCCATTGCTGGTTGCTGCACAGTTTATCTTTATAATATGCTTTGCAAAACGTCTTTGTATTGTTGGAAACCAATCTCGTGCAGTCTATGGCTTCTGAAAACAGAATATGAATGCTGCAATAACTCATTGCTGATTAGTAATACATCTCCAATTAAAAATACTTAGGCTTAGATATGCCAAAATTTTTGTTGTAGAAAATTGGCTTTTTCAGAGTTGAGAGTTGAGTTTCAGAGTTGTAGAAAATTGTCTCATCGTGGACGCGTAGTCGTTTTTTCAAAATTATTCGAAGTTTAGAGTCGGATATAAATTTTGCCGTATCGAACAAAATCATAATTTCGGTTGCAAAACATATTCATGGAATTGTTAGTTGTTAATATTTTTCTTACCTCCATTGATTGTCAAGTTGTAAGCATGCGGACAATATCTTGTTGCGTTACCTTTAGCGGTAAAGTTCCGTCTTGCGAAGTAGAGACGCAACCCAACAAATTTCAAAACTAGCGAATAGTTGATATGTGGCGGAAAATCCCATTTACAAGAACCTTTCTCTCCATATTCCTTTGGATAATTCAGAGATTCTATGGAGCCATTCCTACGTTGGTCTTCCAAACTATATCGGTTACACCTCACGCAAAGATTGGGGCAAACGACACTTGCAAAAAATTCAATTTATTATTATTTTCATATCGATATAGAGTTTTATCAGGTTGTTGATATAGGTCCAGACAATATGATATCACTCTCGCCCGAAATCTAGTTTTACGTTTTTATTTTGTAAGATTTAACGTCGTAGTGAAATTATATTCAATGTCATATTTCATGAAATAAAATTTGCTTGCTTTTCACCTTTAATTTCCTCTTTAATTTGGAATATTTGAACTTTCAGGTTAAAACTATATAGCACTAAATGCTTCGGATATACGAATATTGCTAAAACAATCAAAAGAGAAAATCGGCAAATCTGGCAACAATTCAGCGAAAATAAATAAACTAAGTCGACTTCCGCTACCCTTGTATACAGGATGCCCGAAACGTTATTTGAATTACAATTGTTATTAGATAAGCAACCCCTCTTTAGGGCCGCCATGCGCATTAATTAAACCTCCACAATGCGATTAAAATCACGAATACCAAATGACTAACATGGTCACTGTTATATCAGCAAAATTCTAGCCGTATAATAAAAAACGACAGCGGATACCATAAAAAAGAGGGCCCGTGAAATAATAAGTGCAGCAAAATTTAGGGTAAAACATCGGACCGGTAGGACTCGGAGAATATTCAAACAAAAAAATGAAAGTAGTCGTTTTGTCGTGGCTTTAACCATCTTAAGTACTTATAATTCAATTGCCGCATTACTTGTAAAAAAAGTGCTTTTTTACAACAAAAATAACCTCAAAGATATCAACAACAAACAATTCTGCTTTAACGACACACTTTGTGTAAAGAAACCGTATTCGGTTGAATTTATATACACCATAACTATACAATTCAGTGGATTTCAAACAGTGCGGCGCGCTCCACAAGGGGAGCGTAGACAATTTTTTGAGAGGGCGTGGAGCTGATGGAAAATAAAAATCTTTGTTAGATTGGGTCTTGTCCGCCATGTTTTGGATATTTAGATTTCTTTTTTGTTCAGAGATTGCGATTCCATCCACGTATTTTTGAATTAAAACGTACTTTCGCCTTACTATCTGTTATTTGTAATTGTTGTAACTCATTGTTAGCTAGTTATTTTTGAGGTGGGGCACGAAACTTGACAAACTCTAAAAAAGGGGCGCGGCTTAGAAAGTTTCAGAAACATTGCTTTACATTGTACTTACATGCTATCAGTAATAGTTGATAAATGAAGTTGGACATTTTATCTTTCTTGATCATCAACAACCTTCGTTAAAGTTTTATCTACTTAGATTCTATTTCTACAGCACTGGTGTGGGATAAGGAAAAGTTAATTGAGAATATTAGATTTGTGGTATGGTACAGCATAAACGGACACGTGGAAAACAATATTATAGAGCACTTTTACTCAAAGTGCGTTCCGCGGAACACTGCTGTTCAGCGAGTTTCTTCGGAGCGTTCCGTGGAACAGGGATCAAAATTGCGACTAAATTGGTCGCCATGGCGATCTCTGTCGCACTTTTGCAACTTTGGTCGTGAATGTGTCTACCAACTGGCAACAAACAAGCGGGCCATGCTATCTAAACAGGCGGACATGTCTCGTGTCAGTCTGGAAAGCGCATGGCCATCCCCAAGACAAATTACTGAGCGTTCACACATAATGAGAAACATGTTTCGTCAATAACTTACTAGAAAGAAAGTCATTGGGAAATTCACCTCGATTTTTGGCGTCCAAATAAAAAAGACAATGGCGGCGATTGAATATGAAAAACCGTAAATGTCTACAGCAGTTTTTTGTTAGAAGCAGTCGATGAAATTCAGGGGCATAAAGTTGATTACTACTCACTAATAACACATCGCAGCACGTATAAGTCGAGAGCGGTAAAAATAGGTCGCATTAAAATGATTCAAATCTGTCAAAACAAACTTTTTCTTTTCATTTCGTCGTAAACTGGCTGTTGCGGCTCCGAGTAGGTTTGAGTTTGACGGAAAGAAAACCAAATGACTCTTTCAATGCTGAAGGTTGTCTACCTGTGCTATATACCATGTCCAACGTCGGCTAAACTATTTCGTATGATACTCATCAGTTGTGTATGCTAAGTATGGGTAAGCCTGGTAGCGACCCCTCGCAATTATAACCTTGTACTTCAGTACCACCAAATCATAAGACCTACTTTGGGACGGCATAACTACTTATCAAAATTTTTACATGGTCACTAAATTCTAAAACACGTATGACTAAAACGCCTCTTATTATCTAACTATGGTAACTTGGAATTCCCATGTATGTGATATTAGTAACACTGCCATCTCTGGGCCAAACTATATCTAATTAGTACTCAACTGTTGCTCCCCCATCCTCAAGGAAAACAGAATATTAATAATTTGGGATGACTGCGCACCAAATTATATAGCAATTACTTTTGGGACATAAAAGGCCAGATGTGTAATCACAATACTCAAATTCAGTTGGCCGTCTAAAAGATTGCACCTAAACTAATTTACAAAATCTTTATATATTACATGGCTATAAATCATGAAACGCGTCTAAATATAACGCTTTTCTTCCCGCATATTGTATACCTGTTCTGAATAATATTAATGAGTCTTGTATAATGCTAAAAAGTAAAATGACATTGGAATTTCCATATATGCAATATTAGTTCACGATCAACTCTGGCCCAGCCTAAATACCTAGCTATAGCAATGCCTTTGGTGTATGACTTAACAATGGGTCTATAGGACGCAGCAATAGCACACTTCCTGTAAATAATTATGATGACATTTAATATTCAGATTCAGGTTTTTGATGTGTAAGTGAAATGCTTTTTTTGTGGGATTTCGCACCTCCGATTTGAATCGGGCTCTGCACAAG